AGTGGTCTTCCTTGATAATTACGGGGCCAACAATAGGGAGCCTGTCTGCCACATGTGGATCAGGGCAGTGATTTAAAACAAAGAGTAATTATAGGATTAAGACTTTAAGGATAGTTCAGACTTATAGTTTCACCCATCAAAACATATCTTTCTAAATTTCAGGGAAGCAGCAGCATTCATCAAGGTAAAGCCAATGTCAAGAGACTGGGCCACCATAAGGTGTCAGGATTTAGAGTCCCCGGGGCCTGGAACAAAGCCAGCCTTCAAATTTGTTTGGGGAGTCTTCTGACTGGTGAAGAATATCATACATATTTCAACTGTGTACCAGATGCATGCCAAGCGCTGCAAATATAGCAATGAAAAATACAAAGAATGGGGGCATGGTATGACCTTTGCCTTTAGAAACAAAACCCAGTTCTGCCATTTGTTTTTTATCATCTCCTAGAAAGGCCCTTCTAAGTCTCAGAATCCTTATCTAATGGAGGTATTTACACATATGTTTCAGGCTTGTAGGAATTACGTGAGTTGATAAATATAAAGTGTTTGGCACACAGTTACAATTCGGTGAATGGTAGCTACTATCAGTAATGAATGGCTCAAATATGCATTTGTGATAACAGATTACTAACAACATGACATTGCCAGTATTTGACCCACAAAGATGGCCCTTTTGGATGGTTCAAGTTTTTTGAAAAGGCTTGCCCCAGGAGCTCACACTCTAGATGGGTCTTAGAAAATGGGTAGTAGTTATCCAGGTGAAACAGCATGCTGAGCAGAGGGAGAAGCGTTTGCAAGGACATGTACACCTGACCTGACATTGGGAACTTTGGAGCAGAAAAAAAAAAAAAAAAAAAAAAAAAAAGAGGTTCAGGAATCTCATAGGATAAACACTCCTAAGCAACTTCTCTACTAGAAACTCTCTCGTTTTCTCTCTCACTGGTTAGACTAGTACTTGTCAGATGTTCACACAACAAGCAAAACTCTCTGACCACCCAGGGAATGCTGAACTCTCATAGCAAGGTATTGTCCGGGTATGTTGAGACCCTTCGTTCTTACTTCACATGCTTACTACGAGTTACTCATGTTTGTTATCAAACCTGTTATGTCTATTGCAATTTGAAAATTTTATGAACTGGGACGCCTGGGTGGCTCAGTTGGTTAAATGACTGACTCCAGATTTCTGCTCAGGTCATGATCTTAGGGTAGTGGGATTAAGCCCCACATCAGGCTCCTTGCTCAGCCAGGAATCTGTTTATCTCCCTCTGCCTCTGCCCCTCTCCCCACTCATGCTCGCACACATGAGCACTCGCTCCCTCTCTCAAATAAAGAGATAAATCCTTAAAGATATAAAAATTATATGAACCCATGAAATATGTTTGTGGGAAGAAAGAGGGCTGTTGTTTCTCTAAGTTGGATATTTTGGAAAGATATCTTTAAAGGCAAGTTGCATCACGTATTTTTTTTTTTCTCGAACCGAGTGAACAAAACAACTACAGGATTAGGGAAAGAAGTTCTACAACTGTAGGATTCTGCCCTCCCATTGCTCCACGGGTTGTCTTTAAAAGCCTCACTTCAATGCAACCAAACTGGGCATTTGAGACCATGCTTCACAGGTCAGATAAAGGCAAAAACTCCCTCGACCCCAATCCACAGACCCACACTTCATGAAAATACTTCATCCCTGACCCAGAAAGATTGGCCAACAACTGAACCCCATTTATACGCTTCTAGTTAAACAATCAAGTGTTTAAGGTCCGCATGTGTTATTTAAGAAAAATGATGACTTGCTTTAAATGATTCTTGTGATAAATTGACCAGGAATGCAGGGAAGGAAGAGGAGGGCAGTTAGCTTACCCTACAGTACCATGACTCTAGGCTCGTAGGTCGTACTCAGGCTGAAGTGGTACATAGAGTGATAAATGCCATTTTAGGAACACTGGGCTGTCTCTACATTTCTCACCTGACCTGATGTGAATTGTGAATTCTGCCATCATTCTGACCTGATGCCATTACATCTGTGTGTATTCTGTATAAATCCTCTCACCTCAATGGCTTGCGTGTTCTGGTGGGGATACGAACACATACAGAGGAACAGGAATAAAATGGAGGCGACAGGGAAAATATTGTCAGTGCTGGAGGGAGTATTAGGATATGAATTAGTACAGTTAAGTTTTGAGATCAGGAAGCAGGCCAAATTACCCACATATATGTATATTCTGTGAATAAGTTTTTCCAATGCCTTGGATAAAAACCATTTAAACAATGCTGGGTAAGGTGTTATTCTCATAAAAGCATCTTCTTTCAAAACAAATGTATTTCTATTTTCTATAAAAGTTATAGTTACAGGCTACGCTAAAACAGAGTTAATTACTGAGATAATATGAAAGAATATTTTGAAAGATTTGTAGAGTAGGACCAGATAATGACGTACATCATTATACTAAACAATTACACAGAACTAGAGAACTGACTCAGTAGTAAAACTAAGTTTTTTTCAATACCTCCTACTCTGTCAGTGGAAACACTATTACAAAAAGAAACCTAAATCTTAACTTTCTCTCCTTACCCCTACTTCAAAGATAGACATATCTACTATCTCTTCAGAAAGAGAGGTTTTGGACCATGGTTGTTAAATGAAATGGACTACAATTGATAGCACTCAACTCAGGAAAGAAAAAGAGTTATGAGATCTACTGGTCTGAGCCATCTTTCCAGGACTGTACCTGCTCAGGGCATCAGGTAGGATGGGCAGGAGTATCTCATGGGATATCAGAAAGCCCGAGTGTGAGGCCAGACTCTGATCTACCTGCTGTGTAGTCTAACATGAGTTCTTTTAACTCCTTGGCCTCACTGAAAAATGATGTGGTAGGAAGTCCTTCCTAAACTCCATTTCTGGCTCTAATATTCTGGGACCCTGGTATCATCAGGGCTAACACTCATCCAAGGCTTTCAAAGAGTGACACTGCACTAACCACTTCCCAGGCAGTAACTCATGCAATCCTCATGACACGCCTAACAGCAGAGGCTTTGGTATTATTCCCATTTCACAGACGAAGGAAATGAGGCACGGAGAGGTCAGGTGTCTAAGTCACACAGCGGCTAGTGGAAGAGCAAGGTTTTGAACCCAGGCCACCTGATCCCGAAGCCCAAGCATACTGCTTGTAACATGACGAGATGACAAAAGCCAGAAGACACAGGTCTACAGAATGGTCTTTTTGTAAAATTTGGGGCAGCTCAACATCTGTATCTGATTAACGAAGCTTTTTCTTTATGAGTGGTCAGCATGGACTTCTGCGATTGAATGTTGCTATGGCAAACGGCTACTAAAAAAGACCTCTGCAGCAACGAGGCAGGCGTGAACTACAAAAAGCAGGAAAAATACACGTTTAGATCAGCAGGGTTCAAGGGACCAAACTGGCATCGATCTAAGCAAAATAACAAAAGAACTTGAAGGCTTTGCAATCTCTATTCTCCGAAAGCGAGGTAACTTGGAACAAGAGCACAAAACCAACAAAACCACCACGCGGCAGAAACAAAGGCTCCCCTGTAACGTGGAGTACCCATTCCTGGCTCCAAAGTCTGAGTCCGGGAGCGGCTCGGACTTCCCTGCACATCTGAGTCATCTGCGGCAGGGAGCGGGAGGAGTCTTGTTAAAAAAATGAAGATTCTGGATCTGTAGGTCTGCGTGGACCTCAGACTCCCAGGTGTAAGGAGCTCCAAGGCGAGACTGTGTTGCTGGAATGTGGATCATCCTTTGTGAGTTGGGGGTAAAGAGCTTAGAGGGTCTCAGAGTCTACAGGACTCACTTCTGCCACCGGGTAGCTCTGGTTCACAGTCAAGGCTTCTAAGCTTGGTTCTGTCCGATGAGCCTATCTGTACATTCCCGTCTAGCTCTAAAACCCGATATGTGTAATGATGACTTTCTCATTCAACCCTACATGGACTTTCTTCTGGTAGCATTAAACGGGAAAACGAAATGCCTCCCACAGCCCCCACACCTGGGTCTCTGTAACAGGAGAATCAAGGCTCAGGCCTTCCCACACCTGTTACAGAAGGATACTGAGAGCTCTGTGCAGAGGTAAAGCCACCCCCCAAAACAAATGTCTTGCAGAAAAGTGATTTATGTTTGAGGCTTTTGGCTTTGGCCAAAAGCTCTTGGAGACTCACTTGCCAGGGCAATGGTACGCTGGGTACGGTATTAAAAGACAGATCATGACCCAGTACTGTAATAACTTATAGGGGTGAGGGGGGGTGGAGCTTAGATATCTTCACCATCTAGACCTATGCTATCCAGTATGGTAGCCATTAGCCACATGTAGCTATCGAGCACTACAGATATAGCTAGGCTGAATTGAAAGTACATATCAGATCTTGGAGACGTGCTATAAAAAGAACGTAAGATGTCATTAATTCATTTTAAATGGGTTTTAAGTTAAAATGACAGTATTTTGGGTATGAACAAACCATTTTACTGAAATTAATTTCACCTGCTCCTTCTTTTTAAATGTGCCTGCTAGAAAGATTTAAATGATATCTGTGGCTTGATGGATAATTCTACTGGGCACTGCTGATCTAGCCCCTTGTTATTCAAACTGTGGTTCTCAGACCAGCGGGATGAGTATCAGTTAGGAACCTGGGAGGGAGAATTTTGTTGCCATCTCGGACCCATCGAATCACCATGTTCCTTTTAACAAAATCCCGTGATTCCTGTGCACCTTCTAGTGTAACAGGTGCTGGGCTAGTTTCTCCTACAACATATTCACAGATGTACTTGTATTCTTGGTATATTTAGGTGATACACTCAAGAGTACTGTGCTTGCTGAATTTTCTACACCAACATTCCACCTAGGCAATGGAAATATGTTTTTTAAATTTTAAATTAAAGCTATTACTATACAATATTACTATATAAATCAAAATTATACATAACATATTAGGCAGACCACATATGTACATATAGGGAGGGGAAAGAGAAGCGAGGTTTTTTTCACTAAGGCTACCTTAGTTACTTCTGGATTTTCAGCCACCATGTATGTGAAACTGATGTTCACCAGATCTGTGCCACTGCAAACACAAACTATCCGCCCTTCCAGATCATTCTCTGACTTTCCAACAGCTTCGAGAGCGGCCAGGATTTTGGGATCCTGTGTAAAGTATACAAATAGGAAAAAATTGTTAGATCACAGAGCATGGAGGGAACATGCTCATTTGATGTAAAAATACACAGAAGGACAAATGTTTTCTTTCTATTGAAAAATGCCCTGATATGTAGCATTATCCTTTTTTAAAAAATTTTTTTACTGTGTTATGTTAGTCACCATAAAATACATCATTGGTTTTTGATGCAGTGTTCTAAGATTCATTGTTTATGTGCAACACCCAGTGCTCCGTGCACTACATGCCTTCCATAATACCACCACCAGGCTCACCCATTCCCTCATCCCAGTCCCCTCTAAAACCTTCAGTTTGTTTCTCAGAGTCCACAGTCTCTCATGGTTTGTCTCCCCCTCTGATTTACCCCGATTCAGTTTTCCTTTTCTTCCCCCAATGTCCTCCATGTTATTCCTTATGCTCCACAAGTAAGTGAAACCATATAATTGACTTTCTCTGCTTGACTTATTTCACTCAGCATGATCTCATCTAGTCCCATCCATGTCGATCAAAAGTTGGGTATTCATCCTTTCTGATGGCTGAGCAGTATTCCATTGTATATATGGACCACATCTTCTTTATCCATTCGTCTGTTGAAGAGCATCTTGGCTCTTTCCACAGTTTGGCAATTGTGGCTATTGCTGCTATGAACATTGGGGTACAGATGGCCCTTCTTTTCACTCCATCTTTATCTTTGGGGTAAATACCCAGTAGTGCAATACACAGAAGGACAAATGTTTTCTTTCTGTCAAAAAATGCCCTTATATGTAGCATTATTCTAAAACATGCAGAGGGAAAAGTTGTAACACTACACACTACCTGAACTCATTTGGTAAGAAAAGTATTCTAATATTACTGATTGAGAAAACTAGGTGCAAGGGTCTTTCTTTAGGTTCTTGGTTGCAACTATAGGAGTCCTGGAAGATGATAATGGGATGGAAAGGCTCTGACCAGGACCTGCTTGTGTCCACAGAGATCAAAGGGGCCTTTTAGCAGAGGACAGTCCCTGACATCTCATGCCAATAAACATAGACATCTGCACAGCCAGCAACCAACGGTTATTAAAAAATAAGATTGAGGGGCGCCTGAGTGGCTCAGTGGGTTAAAGCCTCTGTCTTCGGCTCAGAGCATGATCCCAGGGTTCTGGGATCAAGCTCCACATTGGGCTCTCTGCTCAGCAGAGAGCCTGCTTCCCTTCCTCTCTCTCTGCCTGCCTCTCTGCCTACTTGTGATCTCTGTCAAATAAATAAATAAAATCTTTAAAAAAAAATAAGATTGAGTCTTTCAAGCAACCCGGACACAAAGAGTGAGTATGTTCATCTCCTAGAAGCCACGACATCTTTATTTGGAAAGAAGACAGTGTAAGTCTACCCTAATTAGCGCGTAAAATAGCATCTTTGTCCTCCAAAAAACTCAGGAGGAAATGCCAACAGTTACACGGGAATTTTAACTAACATAAAAGAGGACAGCTTTGGAAAAGACACACAGAAACAAAATGAGGCACGCAATTTTGTTTTTCAACATCTAAAAACCTGCAGGGCTATTATGAAAAAGGGAATACATACTGTGCTTTAATATTCTAGAAAAAAGCCAGCTTCCAAACTCCCAGCACCACTACGCAAACAGCTTCTTATTCAAACAAGTCAATCACTGTGAAGAAGATTTATATGCTCTGTCATCTTTTTCTCTCAGAGTTAAACGGAGCCTCCAAGGTGAGCCACTGTCTGCGTGCACAGGTGCACAAACATGGAACTAACCATGCCATTTAAATTTCCACATCAACCGCAGACCAGAAGTGACTCACAGTTTGCTTAAGGAAAAAATGGCAGCAGAGGGAAGGGGCCCTTGATGCATTAATTTCTGAGTTAAGGAAACTGTTTCTTTGATGCAAGCATCTTCTCTTTGAAAGGTGAGTAACACTTCTCGCTTCTCATAGAACTGAATACAATGCAATCCAGACCACCCAAAGGATGTAGGTGAAAAGACTTCTAAACCGTGTGTTCTTAATTCCCCACTGATGAGTTTGGGGCAGTGAAAGCTTAAATAACATCCCAGCACCCTTTTCCAAACTAAGTCATTCTGTGTTTAGAAGAAAAGCAAACACCAATCAAGGGTACCTTGGGCGTGGCTCCCAATCGAATACTGTTGATGAGGGAACATTCTAGCACTTGTCCTTCCTGGAAAGAGAGAATATAATACAGCAGTGAGCTGAAATCCTGCCAGACCTGCGGCACAGATGGGCGACGCAATTTTGAAGGCAATGCCAATGACAGGAAGGTAGAGAGGGAGCAAAAAACAAAGGACGGTCATCGAGATACCCAACAATCAGAAATAGCTGTGACCCCACACGTTTCATCCACTTCAGATATACTTGTCTATGTGGATGTAGGTCTGAATAATTATTTATGTTTATAAAGTGTTGTTATCTTATGCATATAATACTGTGCTTAGAGTAAGACAGCATTAAATGTGTGAGTGTACATGTAATATTAAGTGAGTACCGCGCTTTTGTAGGATTCCAATTCTACTTCCTTAAACTCAGTTCAAAGATTCATTTAATGTGTGCGCTGTGCTCTGTATTGAGTGAAGTCCCGGAGTGTAACAAGATGAACATGCTCTTAATGCAGCTCTGAGACTCAGCTTGAAACTCTCTTCTTCTAGGAAACCTTCCTAATTCCAAAGATTAAATCAGATCTGCCTGTTTTAACTCTTGTAACAACCTGACCTCTTTCACAACATTCAGTGACTTGTATCTTTTTTTTTTTTTTTTTGGAATGCCTCCTTCTCCTAGATTGGAATTTATGAGGTCTAGGACAGTATCTCCAATGCCTGCCATAGGGGAGCACGTTTTTAAAATCTTGAATAAATAAGTGTAGGGGTCCATGCCCTTAAGAGGCCTTCTGCCTACTCGTTGAGAAATACAAGGGTTTAAATCAGACGGCAGGAAAGAACAACTTGCCTACCTTGCCTTCACTCCTCCAGGTCAGAAAGAAGCCAAATTCATCCACTTTGAAGAGGCAGTTGGGTTCAAACACAAAGGATTCCTGTTAAAAAAGAAATGTGTTGATCTGTATGACTCAGCCCCATTTTGAATCTAATAGAAATGCAAATATCTTTTAAGTCTCTAAATGAGGGAAAATGAAAAATCAGCCTTTTGCATCCTAAATCTAATGACCACATTTCCTATTATGGAATAGTTTCATCTTAAAATCTCTCTGCATTCGCTTCTGTATTGAAAGACTGATCAACTTTATGCAGCATTTTCCTCTAGAGTAGCTTTAAGGACAAAACACACTGATGTCCTGTAGGTCATAGAGGAGAAAGTTCTTCCAAGACCTGGAAGGAAGAAGGACTCCCAGATTCCAGCCAACTGGTCTCCCTCCACAAAAGAACAATTGTTGCCTATATTTAATATAATGTAGAAAATCAGATTTTTTTTAAGTCACTGATTTTGTTTGTCTACATCTTTCAGCATTCAGATGTTTACTCAGAAAATTTCTGAGATTTTTGTTTTTACATTCAACCTCATGTGGTATCCTCTAAACCAGGACTCGAGCAGGATTTTGAGCTAAGCAAAGTATAGTCCTTGGACCAGCAGCATCAACCTCATCTGGGAGCTTGACTCAACTGTGGAGTCTAGGGATCCAGCCCAGATGAACCGAACCAGAGTCTCTGGGAGCACGGCCCAGAAATCTGCATTCCAACAACCCCTCCAGGTGATTCTAAAGCATGCTAAAGTTTGAGAACTCCTGCTGTGTTCTTGGACACCAGAAACTCTGTTGAAACTTAGAGAATCAAAATTTGCATCAAGAAGGAATGTTAGGGGGCGCCTGGCTGGCTCAGTCGGTTAAGCCTCTGCCTTCAGCTCCGGTCATGATCTCAGGGTCCTGGGATCGAGCCCCACATCGGGCTCCCTGCTCCGCGGGAAGCCTGCTTCTCCCTCTCCTGCTTCCCCTGCTTGTATTCCCACTCTCATTGTTGCTCTCTCTCTCTCTCTCTCTGTCAGATAAATAAATAAAATCTAAAAAAAAAAAAAAAAAAAGAAGGAATGTTAGGCCCCACATACAGGGGTTTGGGACAGCTATGTTGTACTTTCCGAAACATTTCTGGTCTTTAGAAGGAAAGTACCATTGTGCTTATGAGCACCAGGTAAATTCTGTATCAGTAAAAGAAAAAGTGTATTCAGGAAATGAACCCAGATGCCCTCTGCCCTCTGACGGTATCGTACCAAGCCTTGGCACTCCTGCATCAACAGATCCACACTTCCTTCTCAGTATCTAAATAAGTGGTCTTCCTTGATAATTACGGGGCCAACAATAGGGAGCCTGTCTGCCACATGTGGATCAGGGCAGTGATTTAAAACAAAGAGTAATTATAGGATTAAGACTTTAAGGATAGTTCAGACTTATAGTTTCACCCATCAAAACATATCTTTCTAAATTTCAGGGAAGCAGCAGCATTCATCAAGGTAAAGCCAATGTCAAGAGACTGGGCCACCATAAGGTGTCAGGATTTAGAGTCCCCGGGGCCTGGAACAAAGCCAGCCTTCAAATTTGTTTGGGGAGTCTTCTGACTGGTGAAGAATATCATACATATTTCAACTGTGTACCAGATGCATGCCAAGCGCTGCAAATATAGCAATGAAAAATACAAAGAATGGGGGCATGGTATGACCTTTGCCTTTAGAAACAAAACCCAGTTCTGCCATTTGTTTTTTATCATCTCCTAGAAAGGCCCTTCTAAGTCTCAGAATCCTTATCTAATGGAGGTATTTACACATATGTTTCAGGCTTGTAGGAATTACGTGAGTTGATAAATATAAAGTGTTTGGCACACAGTTACAATTCGGTGAATGGTAGCTACTATCAGTAATGAATGGCTCAAATATGCATTTGTGATAACAGATTACTAACAACATGACATTGCCAGTATTTGACCCACAAAGATGGCCCTTTTGGATGGTTCAAGTTTTTTGAAAAGGCTTGCCCCAGGAGCTCACACTCTAGATGGGTCTTAGAAAATGGGTAGTAGTTATCCAGGTGAAACAGCATGCTGAGCAGAGGGAGAAGCGTTTGCAAGGACATGTACACCTGACCTGACATTGGGAACTTTGGAGGAATTGGTGTGGTCAGAACATCTCAAGGGAAGAGCAGCAGATAAGACTGGACACATGAATTGGTGTGGTCAGAACATCTCAAGGGAAGAGCAGCAGATAAGACTGGACACATGAATTGGGCTAGATCAGAAGGGTGTTGCATGCCACACAAAAGGTATTAAACTTGACCAAAAGGCCACAGGGAGTCTTGTTATCATTACTGATAGAGACACAAGAATCACTAACTAAAATATGAGAATTAACACATTTTAGAAGATTTCCTAAGCAGTATCTTAATGGCGGTACAGAATTCTGGTGCATAACATTCAAACATCTGTCCTAATATGGCATTTGCAGAGTAGACCCATAGTAAATCAGCTACCATCGCTACTACTTATTTATGTGCACCCTCTCCTTTTCCAAATAAGGATTTGAAATGATCCATGAAATATACATGATAAATATACATGATAAATATACATGATAAATAAGAATGGTTTTACAACTTACTTTGAACTTTCAGTTCCTTGGCATCCTTAACTGTCATGATTTCTCTTTCTTTCTCTGTCAGTTACAAAGTACCAGGGCTGATCACCACCACCTTGAAATTTCTATTCCTAATGTCCCACTCTTGGACCACGTCACCTGATCTCTCTAGTCCCTACCTTGACAGTACCCATTCTCCTATACCCATTTGACTTTAAAACTTCTTATTTGTTAACCTTGCTGATCACTCACTGTCCACCAGACTTCTCCCTCCTTTTACTTCCGCCCTTGTCTAGCTTATTTCCATAGTCCAGTATCACAGTCATTCCCTCACAGATACCCTCAATCCCCTAACCTCATTTCTGATTTCTTAGTCACAGAGCCAAGTCCATCTTATCCATATTTTATCACTGAAACTGATGAAGAAAATCACAGAACCGGATTGACAAGCTTGAGTTGACATTCAAGATCACAAACGTCACATGAATAGTCAACGACTTCCAGACTTACTAATTCTTTCTTAAAAGTTTCCCAGCCCCATGAAAGGACTATTTCATGGCTTCTTCTCAAACTCCTTTAGTTCCAGCAATTTCTGTGCTTCACTGAGTAAAGAAAACCCATCCAATGAGTACCTCTCTCTTTCTTCCCTCCTCACGAAGCATACTTTCTCTGAACAGAGGTCCACCCACCCTCTGCCATTTCTGCTCCAGATGCAATCCTCCTTCACTCACACAAGCACTGCAGTCTTTCATTCATCACCATCCAACACACATCAGCTTTTCATTTCTCTATTGGATCCTTCCTGGCAGCACCCACATGTTCTAGCTGTTCCCACTTCTTCTTTCACTTATTACTTTGTGTCTCTGATCCCCTTTAGGGTAGATCTTGAGAAATTTGCCCATATTCACTGCCTGTCCTACCTCTCCTCCATACTATCTTTGATCTTCCATCTGCCTTCCGTTCCTGTCTCCCTCTCTAATTTCTTTGGCTGGGTTTACCATGGCTTTCACGCAGCCAAATGCCACACACATGTTCTTTTCCTCATCTGATTTGATCTCTGAATGGTAGACTATTCCCTCCTTCTTGAAACACTCTCCCACCTTGGTTGCATACCATTCCTTTAGTCTCTCTTCCTTCTATACTCAGCTTCTACATGCTTTCCAGGACTTGGTTCTGAGAATTCTCATGGCCACGATGTTCCTAGATCTCCTTTAACCCCCTGGTTTCATACCATCTATTTCTTGAAGACTTCCAAATTTGTAACAGCATCCCAGTCCTCTCTGAGTTCCAAACTTTACTCTCTACTTGACATCTCCACTCAGATGTCTCCAAATTAAATGCCCATAACAGAATGCTTTATTCCCTAGCCTCTCTCTAAGCCTTTCCAGCATTAAGACATAAAGTTCAAATAATGTCCCCTGTATCTACTAATTTACAGAAACTGAGCCATCCTTGACTTTCCCTCTCACTTCCATTAATGAGTCTCCTTCATATTTCATACATATACATTTTTCTCCATCTCAGCACCACCTTGATCCAAACCATCATCATTACGCCCAAGGACCGATCTTTTCACCTCTATTCTTTCTTCCTACAGCAGCCAAATGGACTCTTTAAACTTTTCATTAGTTCATTAAAACCATTCAGTGGATTCCTGCATTAATTAGGGTAAAACCTACTCCTTACCAAACGTTCTAGACAAGCTGGATCCTTTGGACCGTATATCCTGCCATTTTCCATTGCTTTCCTTTCTTCACTATAGCCATGGGAACTCTTTTCCTTGAACTCCTCAAGTTCTTTCTAGCCTCAGGGTCTTTGTGCTTTACCTTCTCCCTCCCAGAAATCCTTTCCTTCTGCCCTTGGCATAGCTGGTTCCTCTGCATCCTAGGGACCTTGGCCTTAACTTATCTTCAGTTATCTTCCCTAACCTCCTTAAAGTGTATCTCATCTTTTATTTTCTATTACAGTATCTCGATTATTTCCTTGCCTGCACCAATCACAGTCTGCCATTATAGGGATCGGTTGATTGTCCGGCTTTCACACCAGAGTATAACATCTACGAGGGCAGAGTCCTTGAGAGATTATTATTCATATCTGCATTCCAAGTGCCTAGCACAGCAAAAGCACCCTGAAACCAAATTCATGCACTAAAAAAATCAATGAACACATGATCTCCTGTTTCAAATAAAATAGTTTTCAGCAGGCCAGTCTATAAAACAGATAAACAAGCAATTACTTGAATTGAAGGGGTTGTAGCAAGCCCAGAACCCATCACGGTCAGTCCTTGGAAGGCTGCCACGGACAGATGCACAAATCCAAGGGCACTGTGTTGAGGCTGTCTGCTTGGCATGGGGCTCCTGTTTTAAATTCATACAAGCTCATCTCAGAGTTTTGGTGTCTCTTTGAGGCACCTCCAAGGCTCCCTTGGACCAGGAACACTGTTTGAGTGCCCTTCAAAGAAAT